GGGTGGTGGGAAAAATTGATATGGATTGTTACCTAATGAAATGTTGAATTGATGAACATCTTGAATATGTGAAAAACTAAAAAAATTTATTTGGAGCTTTCACAAATATTAAAAAACAGTGAAAGACTTTGAGTTTAAATGTTTATATTTGTATTGCTATGTGAAGAGAAATATGTATTACAAAAACATGTTGTATAGCACATATGTAATGTTCTTTATGTATGTACAATATATATGCTTATAATATAGGTATATCTGTGTATATAGACATTTATTAACAGATTACACAACATATATATGTGCTAATTATGAGTCTGAATATAGGAAGTATTGTATTTCTGCAATTTATAAATCATGGATTGTGGTTTACTCTAATTCTAGTTATAACTGCCCTTAGCAAGGAGGTTGAAGTTATTTCTTTCTCAAATAAAAATTTTTGACATTCTTTGCATATTAGAGAACCTAAGCAAAAGGACAGAATTTTGGATTAAAAAGAATAGTAATACAGTAGGTAAGCATGGTCAAAAGAAAGTTTAAGATGTTAAGATTCTTATTTTTCTTCCTGTTATTCAACTCCTTTACCAATTGTGTGGCTTGATGCTTTACAAACATGCTTCTATTTATCCCACCCACCATAATGATTTTCTAATGTTTTTAAAATTAAATATTTATTTATTTATTATTTATGTAAGAGGCAGGCAGAAAGAGGAGAGAGAGAGAGAGAGAGAGAACTCCCACCTACTGACTCACTGCATATTCTCAGAATGGCTGGGGTAGTGCTAAGGCCAACATCTGGAGCTGCAAACTCAATCCAAGTCTCCCATATGGGTGAGAGAAATCCAATTAGTAGAACCATCACCACTTTTTCCCAGGGTCTGCATTAGCAGGAAAGAGTCAGAAGCCAGACCCAGGGATGGAACCCAAGCACCTCAATGTGGAATGTGGGCATCTCAACTGTTAGGCTAAATGCTTGCCACCAACCTTCTAATTTCTGAAAAGTTTCTCCTTCTCTGCCCAATTCCATACTTCTCTGCTCTATATGATAATGAGGTACTCAGATTTGTTTAAAATAGATTGGAAGCAATTGTGAAAACTAACAAGCCTTTAAATTACTTGTTCTATATATTCATAACCAAGTCATAATTTTTTAAAAATTTTACTTATTTTCATTTTATTTGAAAGACAGAGACTGAGGCAGAGAGAGAGAGAGAGAAAGAAAGAGAGATAGAGACTCCAAAAGACAGATGGAGAGAGATCTTTCCATCCTCTGGTTCACTCCCCAAATGCCCACAACAGACAGGACCGGGCCCAGGTCAAAGTTAAGAGCCCAGGACTCAATCTGGGTCTCCTATGTGGGTGTCACGGACAAAATACTTGAGCTACCTGCTGCCTCCAGGCTGTGCACTGGCAGGAAGCTGGACTGAAAGCAGAGTAGTGGGACACAAACCAGGCATTTTTATATAGTATGCAGGCATTCCAAGAGGCAACTCAACTGTTAGTCACATACATGTCCCAGAAATGTATAAAATTTATGAAATTTTAAAAAATACTTTCAAAGTAAAAAAAAATGAATTCTACTGAATATCCAAAGAGTTATGCATTTTTTTTTTTTTTACAGGTAGAGTTAGACAGTGAGAGAGAGAGAGACAGAGAGAAAGGTCTTCCTTCTGTTGGTTCACTCCCCAAATGGTCACCATGGCCGGCACGCTGCACCAATCCGAAGCCAGGAGCCAGTTGCCTCCTCCTGGTCTCCCATGGGGTGCAGGGCCCAAGCACTTGGGCCATCCTCCACTGTACTCCCGGGCCACAGCAGAGAGCTGGACTGGAAGAGGAGCAACCAGGACAGAACCGGTGCCCCAACCAGGACTAGAACCTGGAGTGCCGGAGCCGCAGGCAGAGGATTAGCTTAGTGAGCCATGGCGCCGGCCTATGCATTTTAAAAAAAAAAAATCCTTATCCTTTCAACACATCTAATAGCAAAAGCAAATAACAGTGGACAATATTAAGATCAGAAACAAGACACAAAAAAAGAAAAAAAAGTAGTATCAATTGTAAAAGATAATACTAAATTTTCTTAGTAGACTTTCACCTAATTTCTTATTATCATCAGCATCATTCCCTTGCTCTTGATGTCTTAGATACAAAATCTAAGAAGTCTCTTGTTATACCATCACTGTAACCATCATTGGCTATTAGATCTTTCTCTTCCTAAGACCTCAGATACTACCCTAACTCAAGCTCCCATCACTTTATATATAGACAGCAGTACTAGCCTCCCAGATAATCTAATGTGAGGTCTCCGAACACAACACAATAGTAGAACGACTGTTTCTTAAACTCTATTTTTACCACATCATTCCCATATAAAGCCCTACAGTCATTTCTTAGTTCTATAACAATATTAAGAACAATTGGCCGGCGCCGCGGCTCACTAGGCTAATCCTCCGCCTAGTGGCGCCGGCACACCAGATTCTAGTCCCGGTCGGGGCGCCGGATTCTGTCCCGGTTGCCCCTCTTCCAGGCCAGCTCTCTGCTGTGGCCAGGGAGTGCGGTGGAGGATGGCCCAGGTGCTTGGGCCCTGCACCCCATGGGAGACCAGGAAAAGCACCTGGCTCCTGGCTCCTGCCATCGGATCAGCGTGGTGCGCTGGCCGCAGTGCGCCGGCCGCGGCGGCCATTGGAGGGTGAACCAACGGCAAAGGAAGACCTTTCTCTCTGTCTCTCTCTCTCACTGTCCACTCTGCCTGTCAAAAAAATAAAAAAAAAATAAAATAAAAAAAAATAAAAATAAGAACAATTTTATTAAAGTGAATACTATGTTCATGGCACTATGATAAAGGCTTTACATATGTTGAAGTTTTAAATATTTCCAAAATATGAAAATGTAATTGCTCCCAATTTATGGATAAGGAAACCGAGACTCAGAAGAGGTGCTCGCTAAGTTAACCAACCAAGATCACAGTTATTAAGTGACAAAGCTAAGATTCAAGCTCAGGTCCATCTATATTCCAAATTCTTAATACATAGAGAACCACTTTACACAAAGTAAACACTTAATACATATTTGTTGAATAAATAATACGTTAATGAAATACAATACTATATTAACTTGGTAAATGCATTATTAGTAAGCAAATTATTGTAAGGGGCCAGCACTGTGGCATAGTAGGTGCAGCACCACCATCTCATATGGGTGCTAGTTCAAGTACTGACTGCTCCTCTTCCAATCCAGCTCTCTGCTATGATCTGGGAAAGCAGTTGAAGATGGCCCAAGTGCTTAGGCCCCTGCACCCATGTGGGAGAGTTGGAAGAAGCTCCTTGCTCCTGGCTTTGGATCAGCGCAGCTCTGGCGGTTGTGGCCATTTGAGGAGTGAACCAGCAGAAGGAAGATCTTTCTCTCTGTGTCTTCCTCTCACTGTTTGTAATTCTATCTCCCAAATAAATGAATAAAATCTTAAGAACAAACAAATAAATAATAAAATAAATCTTTAAAAAATTAATTTAAAAGCCCCATATTTTATCCTAAGAATAATATTGGCATACCTTACATACTTAGTAAATATCTGTTGAACTAAAGAAATTATACCAGATATTTAAGAACACAGAGAAAAAACCTTATTATGATTTAATATAATCCATATTAACTTTTATTTGTATCTCTCCTTACAGCTACTAAGATTGTTTATTTATACTTTTGAATCAGGTAACCAAATTATTTAACTATGTTAATTTTATTAGTATTCAATTTAGTTACAAAGTACAAACAGGTTCCATTGGTAGAAAATAATATTGTTGGAACACTAAATATTGTGTGTGAACATGTTGGACACACACACCAAATTGCTTAGGGTGTACAGATTCCTAAACAGTCTGAACAAAATTCCTTAGAGATAATGTTTTAAAATTTTAATATAGAACAAATGTCACTGTCTAGCAATTTAAAGATATAAGGGACTTCAGAGTTCAATAACAAATACAGAGTTGTTATTTGAAACAAAAATGTAGCTCTTGAGAACAATCAGTTCAGTTTTCTAACAGCAGTTATAGTATGTGGTCATAACCATTTTCCCCCCTTTTACAGAGGTCCCTAGGTGCACATTTTTAATGTATCCTAGCAGTTTCCAGTTAATGTTTTATATTTCTGTAGCTATTATTTTCTGTTGAAAGAAAACTAGTAAAGGTTGAGTCTAGAAAGGGAAAACAAAGGAAGAAGATCAATATTAACACTCTACAAATATTGACTTAGCAAAGTGACTTTCTTGTCTTTCTCTCATAGGAGTTGATATTGAATAAATGACTTATTTACAAGAAACACCCATGGAAAGCATCTGTTAAACAGAAAAAAAAATTTGCTTGTGAAGGCATATTATTAGGTAATCTACTTAGCACGTTAAAAAAGTTGAGAGTCAGGCCGGCGCCGCGGCTCACTAGGCTAATCCTCCGCCTAGCGGCGCCGGCACACTGGGTTCTAGTCCCGGTCGGGGCGCCGGATTCTGTCCCGGTTGCCCCTCTTCCAGGCCAGCCCTCTGCTGTGGCCAGGGAGTGCAGTGGAGGATGGCCCAGGTGCTTGGGCCCTGCACCCCATGGGAGACCAGGAAAAGCACCTGGCTCCTGGCTCCTGCCATCGGATCAGCGCGGTGCGCCGGCCGCAGCGCGCCGGCCGCAGCGGCCATTGGAGGGTGAACCAACGGCAAAGGAAGACCTTTCTCTCTGTCTCTCTCTCTCACTGTCCACTCTGCCTGTCAAAAAAAAAAAAATTAAAAAAAAAAAAAAGTTGAGAGTCATCATTTTTAAACTAAAGATTTATAATAACATTCTTATTATTTTTACTTTACAAATGTTACAACTGGCTGTGGGTAGAAATGTTGCATTCCACTTAAAAACCTCAAAGAATTACTTAACAAACATTCTTGATTATCAGAGATACTGAACAGTTATTAATAAACAATGTGAATTTTTTTTCAGAAAAAAAGTCGTATCTATTAATCTAAAATACTATACCTCTATTAAGTTTGGCTCAGTTAACTTGGGGTTCTGGTTACTGTTAGCACTCATGGTAATTGTGAGGGAAACAGATGTTTTGAAATTCCTAGTGCTTGACAGTAAAGGACTCCTGCTGCCACCTGTAACAAATAATTGATATTTAGTTTCATATTATGAAAAGTTTTCAGTAAGAGTTTGTTTCTAAATAAAGTGTAGTATAAAAGGTATATTAACTTTGTTCTCTTTGTTCTTCTTGTTGAAATAAGTTAAAAGTTTTATACTTATCAGGTTTAATGATCCTTAATTTATGGGCTACTAATAACATTCCTTACTCAATATATCATCTGAAATTTTAGTTTTCATAAAATATAATGATCCTAGCCAAGTCAAATTCCATAATAAAATTTTACTTCAATAGATTTTGACAGCTAGGTGACAAAAGTTGGATTCTCATGTGTTTCATCACCGGCAAGCTGAGATAGAAGGAAAAGTTTATCTGGATATGACCCTTCATCAGGTGGCATGTACCAATGCCTGATCAAGAAATTCTTAACATTAAAAGCAAATACCTTTATTTGAGAACATCTCCTGATTCGTTTTTCTTATGACTCTAGGTGAAGGTTTTGGTACTGGTGATGGGTCCCTTTCAAGAGTTCCCTCGATGTGGCTTCCAAACTGCTGACACTTCAGTTTGCTATCAACCTCCAGTTTGCCTAGTATAGTCTTGAGACATTGCTCATTGGTTGTCATATATAATTTACAAAACTACAGGAAATAAAAAAGTAGTCCAGTGGGTAAAACATTCAATCATACATTTGGGAGAAGGCAAATGCATAGGCAAGGGATAGACTGATAGATGGAATATATTTCCTAGTGAACTTGGTTACTCATTTTCTCGAATCAGATTGACCAGCCTCAAGTGACCTAGTGAAATGTAGCCATGATTCAATGAGGAGGTCATACTCTGAGCCAAATAAAATGTTTTACACAGAGATGTGATTTATTATTTTTTTTTACAAGACATGTGTAGACTTGCTTTTTTTCTAAATAATTTTTATGATTCTTCCATGCCAGAAAAGGTACATTTCTGAGAGCCTCTGTGTGTGTCTACATGCACACATATGTTATTTTAACATGGTTATATTATTTTTAATGTAGTCATCCAGTTACAATTGTGGGAATAACTTTCAAGTACAATGAATGCCTAATATGTAAGTAGTCATTGCCAATATTAAAAAGATGTGCTCCTATAAAAGCATTCTTCTGATATGTTTATTAGCTAATTTAAACATTTTAAATATATATATATTTATTAAAACATTACATGCTTACTATAAATACATACAATTTGTATTTGTCAATTTTACCTTAATAAAGATAGGGACAAAATTTTAAAAAATACTTTTCCTACACAGTATGCAAATTTGCATCAATATGATCTTATGTACCTTGATATAGTCAAACTTTCCATCAGCATTTACATCAGGCAAATTAATTATGGCATTTACTTCTTCTCGAGTCATCTTTTCCCCTCTCTGAAAAGAAGCCAATATTTATTGAAAAGCAACATAATTACCACTTTGTTATTCACAGAGGTAGCATAAATATTTTAACTTTTTCTGCAAGTTTGACCAGAAGGTTTCTCTAGAAATAAGGTAGTATAAATACTTCAACTTTTTCTACAAGTTTGACCAGAAGATTTCTCTAGAAATCAGAGTATTATGTGAAGGAAGAATGAGAGTGTCGGGGCTGGCATTTTGGCACAGCAGCAACAGCCAGAGCTTGGGACACTCCTGGCCCAGGCCTGGTTGTTGCAGGCATTTGGGAAGGGAACCAGTGGAGGAAAGATCTGTCTCTCCCTCTATGTTACTCTGCCTTTCAAATAAATGATAAATAAATATTTTAGAAAAAGAATAAGTCTGTCATATAAAGTAAGATTTTACAATTTTATTAAATTTTGTGCAAGAACACTGAATCTCAGTTTTCTAAATTGTAGAGCAAGAGTCAGTAATAACTACTATTGTGTTTAGAGCAAAGATATTTTCTAACATTATACCAAAAAACAGAATGCATTCCAAATCTCATTTATACTTTGTTTTCCTTTCACTTAGTGCATATGGACCTATCACAGATTTTCAAAGAGTTCTGGGCAAGAACGAATTGCATAGGAGCACAAGGGGATTGCAACATAGGCTCAATTTTATACTTTATTTTTTATTTACAAAGCACCTTTCATCTAGTAGGATCCCTAAGTACTTTATAAATAACATATATGTCATTCATTTCACCTGTCAATGAAACAGCTATTTTTAATGTGAACTTTGGACGACAAACCTAGACTTGAAGTTGTTTTGCATATTACAGAACAGTTTCATAAATCTTACCTTTGTTAGAAATTTATAAAGGTCAGTGTGTAAAATAGAGCCATCATCATTTACATCTAATTGCCTAAATGATTTTAGCAGGTCTGCTTTTGAAGTAGGTTTTTCTTTCCTTAAAATTACACAAAAATCATCAAAATTCAGTTTGGCTGTTTGAGAAGTCCAATATTTATTAATTGTCTTTTGGGATGGGTTTCTTCCTGCATGTTGAAGAACTGCCCAAGAAAACAGGTATGGTTATTGTAACATTCAGAATTGGTATTTAAATGTATTTTCTTCTAACCATTATACATGATATTAGACAAATACACACATACACCAATACCATTGCCTTTGGTGTTGAATATTTAGGGATGTCAATATATGCCTGACTTTCAGAAATAAAAATATACATATTACCAGCTAAAGATTCTTGATTTATTAATGCCAGAACTAAATAGATTGTTTCCTTTGTTGTCAATTTGGTCCTCAATGTATATGGTTTAAATAACTGGTAATCTATGATATACTTAAGAACTTTTACAGAAAAAAAAGATGGAAAATAACCATCTACTTAATTATATTGAGGTCATATGGGTAACCACAAAAGAAAAACATTATTACTTTTAAGGATCAACAGATATAGTAATGAAATGAAGAAATCATTTGTTTCAGAATATTAACAACAAGAAGGCATTACATCTAAAATTTCATCATTAGTAGAATTGCAACATTATTCATGTTCCAAGTATTAAATATATGCACGAAAATAACCCATTTGAGGAGCCGGTGCCGTGGCTCAATAGGATAATCCTCCGCCTGCGGCACCGGCACCCCAGGTTCTAGTCTCGGTTGGGGTGTCGGATTCTGTCCCGGTTGCTCCTCTTCCAGTCCAGCTCTCTGCTGTGGCCAGGTGGAGGATGGCCCAAGTGCTTGGGCCCTGCACCCGCATGGGAGACCAGGGGAAGCACCTGGCTCCTGGCTTCAGATCGGCGCGGTACACCGGCCGCAGCGGCCCTTGGGGGGTGAACAAACGGAAAATGAGGACCTTTCTCTCTGTCTCTCTCTCACTGTCCACTCTGCCTGTCAATAATAATAATAATAATAATAATAACCCATTTGAAGTTGTGTGTCTGCTGAAAATCAAGAATGTCAACGCTGCTAGAGAAGACCATCACAGAGATACAATGGTCAAACAGCTTTTCATTATTAACCATTTCTTTATATCAATGGAAAGTTAAATAATTAATAGCAAGAAAGGCTTTGTATAATTATTTGTTGGCTGGTGTTGTGGCATAGCAGGTAAAGCCACCATCTGTAGTGCCTGCATCCCATATGGGTGCCAGTTTTGAGTCCCAGCTGCTCCATTCTTTTTTTTTTTTTTTTTAAGATTATTTATTTATTTGAAAGGCAGAGCTACAGACAAGGAGAGGGAGAAACAGAGAGAGAGGTCTTCCATTCATTGGTTCACTCCCTAGATGGCCACAATGACCAGAGCTGTGCTGATCTAAAGCCAAGAGCCAGGAGTTTTTTCTGGGTTTCCCACATGGATGCAAGGGCCCAAGCACTTAGGCTACCTTCCACTGCTTTCCCAGCCATAGCAGAGAGCTGGATTGGAAGAGGAGCAGCTAGGACATGAACTGGCATCCATATGGGATGCCAGCACCGCAGATGGTGACTTAGCCCACTATGCCACAGTGCTAGCCCCTGCTCCATTTCTGATCCAGCTCTCTGCTATGGCTTGGGGAAGCAGTAGAAGATGGCCCAACTTCTTGGGCCCCTGCACCTGCATGAGAAACTCGGAAGAATCTCCTGGCTCCTAGTTTTTGGATCAGTGCACCTCTGGCCATTGCAGCCATCTGGGGAATAAACCAGTGGATGGAAGAACTCCCTCTCTGTCTCTGCCTCTGTCTCTCTTTAACTCTGCCTTTCAAATAAATAAATAAATCTTTTAAAAAATTGTATTTATTGTACACTATAGTATAATGGTTTTCAAAAAATATAGTTTGTAAAGTTGAACATAAGTATTTTGGTAGTCTGAAATAAATTTCTGCATATTAAGACATAACTCTCGGCCGGCGCCGCGGCTCACTAGGCTAATCCTCCACCTTGCGGCGCCGGCACACCGGGTTCTAGTCCCGGTCGGGGCACCGGATTCTGTCCCGGTTGCCCCTCTTCCAGGCCAGCTCTCTGCTGTGGCCAGGGAGTACAGTGGAGGATGGCCCAAGTGCTTGGGCCCTGCACCCCATGGGAGACCAGGAAAAGCACCTGGCTCCTGCCATCGGATCAGCGCAGCGTGCCGGCCGTGGCGGCCATTGGAGGGTGAACCAACGGCAAAAGGAAGAACTTTCTCTCTGTCTCTCTCTCACTGTCCACTCTGTCAAAAAATAAATAAAAAATAAAAAAAAATTAAAAAAGACATAACTCTCTGAAATGAACCAATAGTAAGTTTTCCTAAGCACCACAGAAGGAATTAACAGAATTTTAAATGGTATTAACTGTCTTAAAGGATGCTACAAAATCCCTTTATAAAACCTTATGTTGCATATTTTCAACTTAGATGGGAATTCACAACATCTGTGAATTATAAATCAGCATTCAGAAAATGATAATCTGGATAATCTACAATTTAATATAATAAGAATAAAAAAATTCAGCTATCATTCAGGAAATGGAAACCAGATCAGGGTAATAAACACAGACAGTTGTGAGTCAGTTACATTAGGCATTTACTGTGCACAAGCATAATATAGGGTGATATTTTTTCAGAAATACAAACTAATTTCAAAGAAGTTATACAATCAGAATAGGAAGTCTATATCTGAAGTATAAAATTGCTATTTTTGGTTATGACTTATGGTTCTATAACATATTAGCAGTCTAATGGTAAAAAGAAATTTTCTATCCAGGTTATGCCAGTGCATTGAGTTGATAACTTTAAGTTAACAGAAGTTACAGCTGTAATAATTACCAACTTCCATTCACCTATAAAGCCTCTATGCAAATTCGGAGCATTGGATATAAGGTATTTTTTTATTCCCACAGGTCTATTTTACATATAGACAATATCTCAGATTACATGCTGCCCTAAGAACAAAAGATAAGCATTTTGCCTAGTATGTAGATGATGCCTTAATTAATCTATTAATACAACCAGAGAAATGCCATGTGTATTTCAGGATTCCATCCCCAGCCAACTCCCACACTTTAAAAGCAGGGAATATAAGTAGACTCTTTTTTTTTTAAATTATTTAATTATTTATTTTTGACAGGCAGAATGGACAGTGAGAGAGAGAGACAGAGAGAAAGGTCTTCCTTTTAGCCGTTGGTTCACCCTCCAATGGCTGCCGCGGCCGGCGCACTGCGACCAGCGTACCGCGCTGATCCAAAGGCAGGAGCCAGGTGCTTCTCCTGGTCTCCCATGCGAGTGCAGGGCCCAAGCACTTGGGCCATCCTCCACTGTACTCCCGGGCCACAGCAGAGAGCTGGCCTGGAAGAGGGGCAATCGGGACAGAATCCGGCGCCCCGACCGGGACTAGAGCCTGGTGTGCCGGCGCCAAAGGCAGAGGATTAGCCTATTGAGCCGCGGCGCCAGCCTATAAGTAGACTCTAAATGAATCTGTAATTTGACAATTCAGAATTCACATGAAAGAAAATGCTCCTGCTGGTCCCACTTCGGGGAAATAGGCATGTAATTCTTTCCCATGAGTGACACTTCAGCATATATTTGTTGCTGGCTTCAGTAACAAAGACAAAATTGTTTAAAAAAATGTTTTAAATTACAAAAAAGCAACTTTCTCAGGAAAAAAATCCTATGCCAAAACTCATACTCAATAAGAAGATATCCCTGTATTTAGGAAGTTGATATAATCTAGTAATGACTAACTTGAATCTCAAAGTTTAGAATTATTTAAAGTCTATGAAATTTGATGATAGTTAAAATATGTGTAACTGTGCATGCATAAATGTTGACACACTGATCTTTTGCCAGGGTTTACTGTAAACTTTGACTTGAGTCTTCATCTATATTATTTAAAAATTGACAAAAAGGAACTTCAAAGTTCTGGTAATGGCACTGCTCCATTTAGCCTTAAAATGGAAATGTCAGAGCATATGTTATGTGCATAAGTAGTAGAAGGAAATAGAAGAAAGACAACAAAGAAAGACATCACTGATTAACATTACTCCTCTTTCAAACCAGAGTATCTGAAATAAATTGTTACAGTGTTACAAAGAATATTGTACCATAAAACCAAAATCATACATAAACCCTTTAGAGACAAACGTAGCATTGTTACCTTCCCAGATTAATTTCATAAGACTGACAGCACTTTAGTAATACATTCTCATTGACTCAAAAACTAAACAGAGCAGCAGAGTACATGTTCACCTTTTTAAAAAAAGATGTATTTATTTGAAAGGCAGAGTGACAGAGACAGACAGAAAGACAAGAGATCTTCCATCTGCTGGTTCACTCTCCAAATGGTCACAACAGGTAGAGCCGAGCCAGGCTGAAGCCAAGAGCCTGGAACTCCTTCCAGGTCTCCCACGTGAGTGGCAGGGGCCCAAGCACCTGGACCATCTTCCACTGCCAGATCAGAAGTGGAGCAGCCAGGACTCATAATCAGCACTGTGAGATGGGATGCTGGCATTGCTAGCAGCAGATTAAACTGCTGTGTCACAACACCAGCTGCATGTTAAATTTTTAGACTTAGCAGATCCATTATCCCAGTCCATTCTCAAAAGAAAATAAAGAGAAAAAAAATCTCAGATATTTTGTAAATAATGGCAGTGTCTCTCCCTCCCTGTCATTCTGCGTTTCAAATAAAAAAACCAAATATTTTAAATAATTCTATTTGTCTATATCATTTAGTGCATATTAATAAAATACTATCACTTAAAATTCAAAATGTAATATTATGCTAAATTTAAAATAATGTAAGTCAAGGTAAAAGTAAACATTATTTGAAAAACTGCTTTAGTCGTATGTTTTTAAATTATTTGACAAATATCTTTTATTTACACATCAAATAACTGTTAATGTTTGCAATTCTCATATTCTCAAAATGGAATTCTTCTAAAAGAGAAATTACTGCATACAAACCTAAGATACTGCTGCAGAAATATGTCAGAGTTTGAGATTAAGGAAGCTATTTCTAAAGTTGGTAAAATGGCTCAATCTCTCTTCCTGCAAGGAGATCACCTTGGATGAAACAGAAGGAGCAGTCAGTTATCTGGTATTGCTTCTCTCCGGTGACTCAGGACCTCCTGACATTTGATACCTCTAGCAAGGACCAAATTCAGTGGTTTGGGGGAGATTTGTAACCAGAAGAATTTAAAACTGTGGTGATCAGGGCTGGCATTGTGGTGTAGCGGATAAAGCCATATGGGTGCCGGTTAGAGACCTAGGGTTTTTCTGCTTTCAGTCCAGCTCCCTGCTATGGCCTGGGAAAGCAGCAGAAGACGGCTCAAGTGCTTGGGCCCCTGCACCCATGTGGGAGATCCAGAGGAAGCTCCTGGCTTCTGGCTTCCAATTGGCCCAGGTCCAGCCATCACAGCCAATTGGGGAGTGAACCAGTGGATAGAAGATCTCTCCTTCTCTCTGTGTGTCTCTTCCCCTCTTTGTATAACTGTAACTTTCAAATCAATCAATCAATCAATAAGTCTTTAGAAAAGAAAAAATTGGAGAAAAGCAATAAGTGATTCTCCCCCACCAAAACAAAACACATGAAACAAACAATAACAAAAAAATAAAAAACCTCAGAATCCTTATTCTCATTTAAAAATTCACTTATCTCTAAATAATTTTACAGTCACTCAACCCATTTTTATGTATCCTTTATGTCTTCCTCAGTATAGGTAAAATTCAGACCAGTGATTCAGATGCCATAAATATTTACATTCTAATATTGTGAATCTTAAAGCACCAAAATGAGAATTTAAAAAATATTTTAAGCATGGGCCGGCGCCGCGGCTCACTAGGCTAATCCTCCGCCTGCGGCGCCAGCACCCCGGGTTCTAGCACCGGTTGGGGCGCCGGATTCTGTCCCAGTTGCTCCTCTTCCAGGCCAGCTCTCTGCTGTGGCCAGGGAGTGCAGTGGAGGATGGCCCAAGTGCTTGGACCTTGCACCCCATGGAAGACCAGGAGAAGCTGCTGGCTCCTGGATTCAGACGGCGCGGCGCACTGGCCGTAGCAGTCATTTGGGGAGTGAACCAACGGAAAAAGGAAGACCTTTCGCTCTCTCTTACTGTCTAACTCTGCCTGTCAGAAAAATTAAAAAAAAATTTTTAAGCAAGCAATAATTGATGGAAGCTTTAAATATGTCAATCCAGTCTATACACATTAGAAGTTTTATTTTGAAGTTTCTAGAACATGTAAGTATATAAAATGGCATAATAGCTTACTGCAGTTCCATTGCTCTAGTTAGTTTAAGAAATTGGAATAATTCAATAATGTAATTCTAACTAGAGTATTTCTGAATTACAAACTTTCAACCAATAAGACAGAAAGATTCAAAATTTAAAAGACTGTACCTAAGTATAGTTGATCTTTAGAAATAATGTTTTCTAAGCTGCTTTTGAAGACTGTTAAGTAGGCAGCTCTGCAGTTCATATAAAATATCTTCTCTTCAGTTAATGAGTATTTCTTTGTTCGAGGACTCTGACTGGGAAAAGCTGCACCACTTCCCGGACTGTCGGCCATTCTATTAGAAAATCATTCAAAAATCTGTTTTAGTCAAATGTTAATTGCCTAAAATGCAAATGTCAACACACCTTTCAAATGCTGAGGGAACAAGATATTTAAAAGCTGTTATATGTGGGGAAAATTTATAATACATATATGGAAAAATAGACATGAAAATTTTTATATATGGAAGAACAAGATGAAAGCTGTGTACAGTGAGTGAAAGAATTACCACAGGATAAACTAGAGTAAGCCTTTAGCAGCTGACTTCTAACTTTATATATATTCAAATACACAAGGGTACCCCAGCATGTCTGTGGAAAAAATAGAATTAGAAGATAATGATATTTTCCATAAACTTTGTGAAGACCTTTCCTACACACACATATATGTATGTGTACATATACATATACATATACATATACATATATATATACAGTTGTTGCTCAAGTATATGAGAACACCCAAAAAACAAAAACATAATATTACACAAAAGAAGAATCGCAGGACAGGCCAGCACCATGGCTCACTTGGTTAATCCTCCGCCTGCGACGCAGACACCCCGGGTTCTAGTCCCGGTTGCTCCTCTTCCAGTCCAGCTCTCTGCTGTGGCCCTTGGAAGGCAGTGGAGGATGGCCCAAGTGCTTGGGCCCTGCACCCGCATGGGAGACCAGGAGGAAGCACCTGGCTCCTGGTTTCGGATTGGCACAGTACCGGCCGTGGCGGCCATTAGGGAAGGAAGGAAGACCTTTCTCTCTGTCTCTCTCTCACTGTCTATAACTCTGTCAAATAAAAAAAAAATAAAAAAAAAAAAGAATCACAGGACAAAGGAAAGTGTACATTTATGCTCCCAAAATAAGAAGTCAACTAAATCAGACTCTTCACAGAGTTAAGAGGGTTAAATCAATTAATACATGTGCCACTGTCTGGCACATAACAAATGCTAAACAAACTGGAGACAGCGTGAAACTCACAATAATGCTAAGTCAAATAGAAGATGATTGGCAGGTGACACCCATCCTTCACTGGATCAACCAGATGGTTTCATGAACATCTGGATTACCAAGCCCCACATTTCCAGTAATGGAATTTTTACTAGTCCTATTTAGAGCATTGCCATGGGGCTTACTATTTTCTTTTACTGATATTATTTTAGGTTTATATAATATCTCTGCTCATAAGAGCTTAAATATTTTTCATACATCTTGTGTTATCCCTACTACAGTGGTCAGGTGGTTTTTGTCCATTTTACAGATCAAGAAACTGCGGAACAGAGATGCCACCCTCCTAGTAGTAAGTGGCAGAAGGCTGTAGATTTCAATAACAGCTTCTTCGTTGTTAATGTGGATGATGATTATCGAACAATGGTTACTCTGAGCTAATAAATTACGGTGAGGGGAGGCATGGTGTCCCAGTAGGCTAAGCTGCCACTTGGGACTGTAGCACCCCATATGGAGTGCTTGGGATCAACTCCTGCCTCTGCTTCTGACCCAGCTTCCTGCTAATGTACTTGGGAGGCAGCAGATGATAACCCAAAGACTTAGTTTCCTGTCACCTATGTGTGAGATCCACATGGCATTTCTGGCTCCCAGCTTCATCCTTCCCAGCCCAGCCCAGCCCTACCTGTTGTGGCTAGTTAGGGAGTGAGCCCGGGGGTGGGTGGAAGATCCTCTCTGCCACTGCCTTTCAAATAAATAAATAGTCTTTTTAGAAAATGGTGCTGGTTGTTTAACAGCTTCCAACATGACTTTATCCAGCTTTGACTTCTAACATACATTCCAGGCTGACGAACTGAATATTTCAAGTTCAAAAATAAGATGACACAGGTAGGGTCCCCTTCAGGACTCATTGGATTCCTACTCAGGAGGCCTAAATCACTTGCACCTTCTTGAATTATATAGGTCTTTTACACTTGGGAAAGAAAGATAATAATTGCTTATCACGGATGAAGTACCCTATTTATAATACACAGACTGCCTGCCTGACACTTTCATATTACACCAGATTTAGAAGGACCCCATAGGGATGTGGTGTCACAGTCTGGTTACTACAAATTGGTATCACTATAATTAAGCATCCGAGTTCTAAACACATAGGAGCACACGCATATCCTCACAAATGTGAAAGAAAACTGTGCCAACAAGGAAGGGAGAACGGATGGTCGCTGCACAGCGATTTTAAAATACAAGGATTTTCAAGGATCGTCTTCACCATAGTCTTTCCCAATAAGGTAAAACTCCCACACGTGGAAATGCCACGGTAGAAGTGTTCCAGAATTCTGTTCTTTCCCTTTCTGCGATGAGAGACTACACGGAAGCTTAATTAAATATGTAATTGCACCCCTCGGGCTTGGAAACCTCCTTTATGTAAAACTCCAACCAGAGACCGAGACAGGGGCCCAGAGAGTACATCGCAGCTAACGGCTACATAAATAACCAGGCACACACAATGGCAGGAAAAATAAACTGTCTAGGAGCGCCTACGGCTTGCGAAGGGCCCCGTGCAAACAGCCATCCAAGTCGCCGTCCCGACGCGCCGAAAAGGGTCCCCAGCTAATCTCGGGCAACCTCGCGGGCTCGCTCTCGGTTCCGCGGGGCGTAAAACTGCGATCCCGCGTACACTTCGCGTACCTACTCGGACCAAGTGTTAGACCAGGAAAAGAAGCCGGTGGGAGAAGATGTAGCCGCACAGTGAGACGCAGACGAGTGAGGAGATGGAGACAGCGGTTCGCTACCTAATGCCAGCTCACAAACGAGGAGTCTCAGCCCATTCTTTCCGGTGATCCCGCGATCGTCTCTGGGCCGCCCGGCAGACAGCGGCCTTTCTCCAATCACCATGGCAACGGCACATCGCCGCCACCGGAAATAAGATGCAGAGCACCTCCACGAATGCTCCGGCTAGAAATCTAGCGGTGGTTGATCCCGAGCGAACAGAGACGGCTGTATCTGTTCTCCGGGAGGTACCATGGCCAGAGGAGTAGCAGAAGGTTCTGTGCTTCACTCTGGAGGGAGCGGCTGAGGTCATGGGCCTAAACTCCCCACACGCCCACCCATTCCTCGCACACACTCGGATCCTTTCTCGCTGGGAGAGTGTTTCCGGAGGGTCCGCGTTCGGTGGGACACACACAGTCCAGTCCCCGCCCGCCCGCGCTTTTCGTGCTGTGTGTTGGCTGCGGAGCGTTCTCGGCTGGTTCCTGCTAGTGGCGGTGGTGCGTCTTTGGATCTCAGAATGCCGTAGGTATCTCCTCCCTAGGTTTTACTGTCTTTGAGGTCCCTCTGTGAAGAAGAGTAGATATTATGCGGCTCCACTAGCCTTTTTGTTTTCCTAATTTTTTTTTCTGAGTAAAAATTGTCGCCAGTTGTCAACCGTTCCCGGTGTTTGTGTCCTCAAAGGACTTGAACTCCACGCTAGTCTATTTCAGCACTGTTTCTCCAAGGCTTTTGACAGATGTAGGGTGTGTGCTGTAATTAGGTGATGTCTCACTTGAAATGATTTTTAAGAAGTTAATTTCCTGAAGATCGGGCAAGGTCGACTGGAACATCCCCGTAGAATCGGGAGGCCCTGCAGTACCTAGATTAGGGTAGTGGATTCATATAAACTCGTGGCAGCAGAATGCACGACTTGGGTCTGAATACTTGAATCCCAGTGAAGATTCTTTCACTGTTGGGTCCGTCACTTTTCAACTCCGCCTCCGGTTTGCTTACTGATAAGAAGAAAATTGCACTGAATGATTTCTCAATTCCCATCCAGCCCGAATAATGTGGTCATTGAGAATGACCAAAGCGGGAATAGGCATTGTGCTGCGTAATTTTCATTTTGTTATCCCAACCCCTCCTCCGTCTTCTATTGAGATGAATAAAACACAGTTGCTGCCCTACAGAAACTTAAACGAAAAAGAAACGGAGTCCCTAAAGAACGTAGCGGGCAGGAGTGGATGTCGAACTCGGGCAATGGTTTTCTGACTGCTCCTTGTTCCCAGGCTGACTTAGGTCCCACCGCGAGAGGAATCTGTTCCTTTGTTATTTTCAAAATAGAGTAAAATTTATAATAAAATGGTGGGGGAAAATTTATATCAGATACTGGTATGAAAGGTGCAGAAATAATAGCCTGCATGTATTGAATCTTTAATTATCACCTAGGAACAGTGTTTAGCAATTTGGTCTCATTGAAGGTAGGGACTACTATTATCAACACACATAAGGAAGCTGTGCACCTAATATAGTGTTGTGCACACAGCTATTAAAAATATGTTTTTCTTATACTCTTGAAAGTTACAGGCTGAGAGATTTTCCTTTCCCTAGATTTAAGCAAAAAGACTTATTTTTTATTGCTGAATTAGAATAATCAGCCAATAGCCACGTACCCAAAGCTGCAAAGAGAATGCAACAAACAAAAAATTCCAAGTTAGGAACACAGTGAAGAAAACTGGTGTGTATTTGCTTCACAAGGGCATACCAGTAGATACATGTTGTGTTAGAAGAGTTTGAGAATCTTAAAATTGAGGTTGACATCTCACTTATGAGATGAGTAACTTATGAGAGAGTATGATCTAACCTGTTTTTAATTTCTTTGAACCTTTTCACGAACAAATTTTACTAGAATAATGAATAGTTGTGGAAATATACATATATATATCCTAAAAGAATCGAAAATGAATAGGAGAGAGTAAATGTCCAATGACAGTAGAGTGGATGGATGTTTCTTAAAAATATTAAGTGAAAGAAACAATTTATTGAAAACTACATGTAGTATATCATTTCTGTAAAACTTAAGAAGCAAAAATAACCCTGTTATTTAGAGTTCTGTGCCCATTAAGATTATGAACAAAAACAAAAATGATAAATATAGCATTCAGTTTAATGGTTGCCTTCATGGGGAAGCAGATGGGGTAAAAGATGGAATATACAGTTGTACTCCATTTGGTAATGATCTAATTACTAAATTTTGTGGTGTGTTTGTGCTTTTTTTTTTTTAAGATTTATTTATTTGAAAGTCAGAGTTACACAGAGAGAGAGAGAGGGAGAGAGAGAGAAAGAGGTCTTATATCCTCTGGTCTTATATCCGCTGGTTCACTCCCCAATTGGTCTCAATGGCCGGAACTGTGCCGATTCAAAGCCAGGAACCAGGAGCTTCTTCTGGGTCTCCCACATGAGTGCAGGGGCCGAAGTACTTGGGCCATCCTCCACTGCACTCCCTGGCCACAGCAGAGAGCTGGCCTGGAAGAGGGGCAACCGGGTGCCCCAACCGGGACTAGAACCCAGTGTGCCGGCGCCGCAAGGTGGAGGATTAGCCTAGTGAGCCGCGGTGCCGGCCAAGATTTATTTATTTATTTATGAAAGAGTTAAGCAGGGCAGAGGGAGAGAGAAAGAGAGGTCTTCCATCCTCTGGTTCATTCCCCAGGTGGCCGCAATGGCCAGAGCTGTGCCCATCTGAAGCCAGGAGCTTCGTCCAGGACACCCCACAGGGTGCTGGGGCCCAAGGGCTTGGGCCATCTTCTGTTGCTTTCCCAGGCCATAGCAGAGAGCTGGATCAGAAGTGGAGCAGCTGGGTCTCAAACCGGCGCCCATATGGGATGCAGGCACTGGCACTGAAGGGAGTTTTCTTTTTCATTTTTCTTTTGACAGGCAGAGTGGAGAGAGAGAGAGAGACAGAGAGAAAGGTCTTCCTTTGCCGTTGGTTCATCCTCCAATGGCCACCGCGGCCGGTGCGCTGCAGCCGGCGCACTGCGCTGATCCGATGGCAGGAGCCAGGTACTTCTCCTGGTCTCCCATGGGGTGCAGGGCCCAAGCACTTGGGCCATCCTCCACTGCACTCCCGGGCCACAGCAGAGAGCTGGCCTGGAAGAGGGACAACCGGGACAGAATCCGGCGCCCTGACCGGGACTAGAACCCAGTGTGCCGGCGCCGCAAGGCGGAGGATTAGCCTAGTGAGCCATGGCGCCAGCCTTCAAGGGAGTTTCTAAGAGAACTTTAAAATGTGCTGATTTTTCTTTATAAAGGAAGCTGAATACAAGTGAATCCTGGATCTGCTTTGCACATTTTACTGTGCCTATTTGTGTTTGTAGTCATGCTGATGCAAATGTGTAATATGATTATTTTTATTTTGTGGATTGATTACAGTAAGAGGTGAATGAAATGATATGTCAGGTCCAGCAAAAGTTAACCATGTTAAAAAAATTCTTTGAATTTTGATAGATAAAGTTCTACAATTTGTTTTACTTAAAAGTATACTACTATATTTTTTGAAGATTGATGAAATTACTAGCACTTCATCTAAGTATGAAAAATATGAAATGTAAATGTATTTTTCCTCCTACCAGTAAAATAGCTATAACTGAGAAAAGTATAATAAATCTTTTTTAAGTAACATTTCCTTTTTAATTTAGTTTTTAACAGATTCACATGGTTTAGATGCAGTTCTAAGAATATAATGATAGTCCCTCCCTCCCTCCACCAATTTCTCCCTTCTGCCCTCTCTCTCTTACTCCCCCGCTTTTCTTTAGTTTTGGGGATAACATATTTTTAATTTACATTACTTAATGGCTTAATGCTTCACCAAATAAAAAGTTTAATAAGTAAAAAGCAAAAAGGACCCTAGTTTAGTGGAAATATAGGCAAGGGCCATAAACAGAACTTAAGTGGAAATATGACTGAGTGTTTCACCTAGATACAGTATACTTTAATACCAAATAGTTAAAACTATAGTAGTATAACTTTATTTTTTTTTTTGACAGGCAGAGTTAGACAGTGAGAGAGAGACAGAGAGAAAGGTCTTCCTTCCGTTGGTTCACCCCCAAGATGGATGCTACAGCCGGCACGCTGCACCGATCTGAAGCCGGGAGCCAGGTGCTTCCTCCTGGTCTCCTTGGGCAGGTCTCCACTGCCCTCCCGGGCCACAGCAGAGAGCTGGATAGGAAGAGGTGCAACCAGGACTAGAACCCAGTGCCCCAACCGGTACTAGAACCTGGGGTACCGGCACGGCAGGCAGAGAATTAGCCCAGTGAGCCATGGCGCTGGCCAACTTTCTTTAAAAAAAAAAAAAAAAAGATTTAATTATTTTATTTGAAAGGCAGAGGAAAAGAGAGATCTTCTATCTGCTGGTTCAGTCCCCAAATGGCTACAATGGCCAAAGCTGTGCCAGTCCAAAGCCAGGAGCCAGGAGCTGCTTCTGGGTCTCCCACATGGGTACAGGGACCCAAGCTCTTTGGCTATTTTCCACTGCTTTCTCAGGCTATAGCAGAGAGCTGGATCAGAAATGGAGTAGCCAGGACTCAAACTGGCGCCCATATGAGATACCAGCACTGCAGGCGGCGGCTTTACCTGCTACACCATAGTGCTGGCCCTATATAACATTCTTTTTTATTTTTTTTTTAAGATTTTATTTATTTATTTGACGGTAGAGTTACAGACAGTGAGACAGAGAGAAAGGTCTTCCTTCCGTTGGTTCACTCCCCAAATGGCCGCAACAGCTGGAGCTACACCAGTCTGACACCAGGAGCCAGGTGCTTCTTCCCAGTCTCCCATGTGGGTGCAGGGGCCCAAGCATTTGGGCCATCTTCTACTGCTATCCCAGGTCACAGCAGAGAGCTGGACTGGAAGAGGAGCAACCGGAACTAGAACCGGCGCCCATATGGGGTGCCGGTGCTGCAGGTGGAGGATTAACATAGTGTGCCACAGCGGTGGCCCCAACATTCTTAAGCATTGGTTTGATAAAAGTATAAAACAAAGATTGACAATACTATATTTGCAGCAGTACTGATACATGCAGGCATTTTTCTTTAAAAAAAAAAAATTTTACTTATTTATTTGAAAGGCAGAGTTAGAGAGGGAGAGGGAGAGGGAGAGAGATTTTCCATTTGTTGGTTAACTTCCCAAGTGGCCGAAACAGCCAGGGCTGGGCCAGGTTGAAGCTGGAAGCCAGGAGCTTCTTCTGGTTCTCCCACGTGGGTGCGGGAGCCCAAGCACTTCAGCCATCCTCCACTGTTTTCCCAGGTGCATTAGTAGGGAGCTGGATCAGAAGTGGAATAGCCAGGACTCAGGCATTTCTTTTAATAGATCATTTTTATAATGTTGTGAGAAACTCTTCTAATGCTTAGAATCTCTAAAAGTCTTTACAATTGCAAAACAACTAGATTCTGCATAAATTACCTTTTTAATTGCATTGATGGACTATAGAGAAGTGAATTAAAACCAAATTACACATAATGGGGAGTCAGCACAAAAGAGAAATGGAA